TTTTTTTTTTTTTTTTTTTTTTTTTTTTTTTGCCGCACGTGCAAAACCCCCTCTGTTTGGTGTCGACCGGAAACAGATTGCACAGCCAGAACCTGATCACAGAGCGGCCCGGTTCTGATGGACCCCTGAGAGTTTGGAGCCATAAAGTTCTGGAACAAATTCTTGTAAATGAGCTACTTATTTGTGCTAATCTGCACTGAGAATATGCGTAAAAACCTGTTTAATTTAAAATTAAATCGTTCTGATGTGAAAACAGGATTATTCCTGAAGGGAATGAGGGTGTTGTGTGTCTGTTAGCAAAATATCTCTTGAGCCACTGGGCTGATTGTGATGAAACTCTTAATAAGTATTTATTGGAGGAGTCTCTACATGTCATTAACTTTTGAAGTCAACATGATTCAAGATGGCCGCCACAGCTAATCAAACCCTTCAAACACAAAAAGAGCCACAGCTTAGTCAGTGTTATAGATATTTAGCTGAAACCTGGTGTGGCAGTAGGTGAGAGTCATCCATAGCAGCTCAAACAAACTCATGATAATATGTCCTATATTCTCTAGTTAGTTAGTTTTAATGTCTAAGAAGAACATGTTTGTGGGAAAGCTGCAGGTGATTCATTTTCCTTCAATGATTTCCTTTAATTCTATATTGATTTTAAAGTTTTTTATTTTTTAAACAGTAAAACTAAGCAGGTTTGGTTGTATTAAAGCGACACGATGACACAATAAAACATTTTTTGACAGAGTAAAGATTGTTAAGTTGTTTTTCGTCATGATGTGTGCTCTTTCCTGAGGCCAGGAGTTTTTATGTTTTTTACATTTTTAGATTTAAAAACAATCAAATTTAGTGGAAGCTGACAAAGTTATTTTATTTTTAGAGCGCATATCTTATTTAAAAGCACATTCTGCACCGCTTTCAGCTTCATTCTCTCATTTTTATGGCATTTAACGGCACAGAAAGTTGATGGAGGTTAAAGTAAATCTGTGACATTAGCAGCCATATAACGAAAGCCTGAAATATTAACACGTGAAACAAGTAAATAAACAGAAAGAGGAAAATGGGGTTGTTTGATTTTTTGAAATGTTGTGAGATCGTGTAAAATGCAGAAAGGCACTGCGGGATGCACGAGTCTCCAACATAAACTGGTCAATAATGTATAAATCTTGCTGATGGTCGATAAAAAACGCCATAAAAACGCAAAGGAAATCAGCAATAAGAGGGGAGTTTAGAGAGTAAGGAGTGCTGTGATGTATGATGGAGGAGGTGGAGGAGGAAGGTGCAGATGAACTCATCTGATGTGTGAATAAAGTCATGATGTACAAATATAAACACACCCTGCATGGCTGTTATCCCTCACATGTATGACAACATGTATGACAAGCATGTACTGATGGACTCTCCTCCTCCTCCTCCTCCTTCAGGCCTGTTGATGGATGCAGCCTCTGCTGTCAGTGAGCTGCAGGAGCCACGTGTCTGCAGGCCCGGCTCGTTTATTGCTCGGAATTAATTCAGCGACAGTCGGATCAACAGTGGCAGCAACTCGATTTCCCACCGACAACACGAGCAGGGCAATAAATAAGCAAGCGCACGAGCAAACAACACACACAAAAAAGCAACACATGCATGTGTTTAGATCCTCGGATGTAATCACCAGTAACTTGATTATTCTTGTTTTTTGTTTCCTTTAAAAAAACAATATAAAAGGAGCAAAAATTTCAGTCCAAATGTAATCAAATTCAGATCAGAGTGTGTAAAGTTACCTCCTGGTTGGTTAAAATCAAACGTTGCTCCTGAGGGTTTGAGCCTCCGGTTGAGCGTGTCGTGGCGTTCCTCCTCACATTCACCCGGCAAACTGCGGAGCCCTGCTCCTCCTCGACCCTCAGACAGTTGGCTGTGAAAAGAGGACGTGACAAATGATGTGCCGAACAATGGCCTCATTCAGGGCTCACCCTGCTGCTCTCACACATGTCATATTCTCCAACAATGTAGCCGAAAAGAACGAGAGCTGAAGGGAAGAGAAGGGTGGGGGGTGGGGGGGGCACTCCAGAGGGCCTGAAAAGAGAAGCAGTTTGTATTTGACTTTTTCTTCTCCTGGAGGAGTCATCGTGAGATGTTATTATTTGAAAGTATAACTTTGTTAAACTTTTTGCAGGATCTGTGAGATGTAGGCAGAAYGACCCAGGGCGCAGGCAAAATCCAAAATGTRAATTAAAGTTTATTTAAACAAAAAGAGGGCTGTCGTGGCAGCAAAAACTTACTAAGACTTCAGGACTCGAGGGAACACAACAGACAACCACAATGACTGTGAAGACAGTACAATGAACGGACAAACACTGAAGACAGGACACAGAGTATAAAGGCAAACTAATTAGGGACAACAAGAAAGACCTGGAGGAGACACAAGAGGAAACAGGTGAGCGTGGGCGGGGCCGGAGCAAGGCAGAGATACACAGAGGAACACAGAAACACTAGAAAACTAAGGAAAATAAACACAGATCGTGACAGGATCCTGAACTCCAGGAGACAACATGAGACTCAGACATGGCCTGAGAGGACAAACGATGGTGGACAGATGGGTGAAGAACTGAGCGACTGTAAGGACTGAGGAGACTGGAGACAACAGCTTAGTGAGTCTGGGGACAGGTGACAGGGAGACAGGTGAGAGTGGGCGGGGCAGGACAACTGTGGAAACTGATGAGAGAAACTCAGGGAGGAGACTTGAGGAGCGTTTTGATGATTCAGTGCACTGAAGAAACTCACAGTCAGGTGCTGCGTTTACTCATCCATCCATTCTTCTATCCATTCTTTTATTCATCCATCCATCAGCTGTTCATCCGTCCATTCATTCCTCCATCATTCCTATAATTCCATCCATCCATCCATCCATCATTCAGTCCATCATTCTTATCATTCCATCCATCCATCCATCAATCATTCTATCCATCCATCATTCAGTCCATCCATCCATCCATCAATCATTCATCCATCCATCCATCATTATGTCCGTCCATCCATCCATCAATCATTCTATCCATCCATCATTCAGTCCATCCATCCATCCATC